TGGTTCTTTGTTCTCCTCAGCACTTCCCAGGGGCAGTTGTCCTAGCAGGGGATCTGCTGTCCCCAGGAGCCCTGGCCTCTGTGTGCCCCTAGGTCTAACCGTGACTGCCAGATAGACCAGCATCACCGGAACCAGTGCCAGTACTGCCGCCTGAAGAAGTGCTTCCGGGTGGGCATGCGGAAAGAGGGTGAGTCCTGGGGAGTGGGGGAGGCCTGGGCCCAGGGGCGGGGCCTGGCTGGCGCCCGCTAACCTCATTAGCACCAACCTGGTCCCTTGGGCACAGGCTGAGGGAATCCAATTATGACCTGCGGGCCAAATGTGAAGGCCAGGGACGCCTGCTTTGGGGCCTCACGGGACTTCCTGCAGCCTCAGCCCGCTCTGGCTGCCGGTCCTGACACGGGTGACCTTGTCCCTCTGTGAGCAAGGGTATGAGTTGAGTTTGTGTTTGATCTTCTTGGCCTGCACCCTCTTCCCCTGCGCTGTTTGCCCAAGGCAGGAACCTGGCCAGATTGAGGCAAAGGCCATGCACCTTCCTTCTGGCCTGCTGCCGGCTGCCTGTCCCTGCCCAGGGACCCAGTGGTCTGACACCCAGAACTGGGCTTCCTGCCCACCTGGACTGTGTCCACCAGCCCCCCACCTGGCAGGCTGTGAACCCCTCACAGCACGGAGCTTCCTGCCTCTCCCCAGGCCCCTGGGAGCACTGGAAGGGCCACTCGGCCTCCCTCCTTGTCCCAGTCTGTGAGAGTGACTCTGTAGTCACCTAACCTGGACTTTGTTCAGCTGCCCCTCTGATCTGAATCCTGATAGGCCTTAGGTCGGGGACCTGCTCTCCAGGCTCAGGGGCAGTTTTCCTGATCTCTGCCCCTCCCAGCACGTTCCAGCCACAGGCCTCTGCCAAGTGCTCCTGTGGAGGTCAGCAGGCCACCCCTCAGCCCTTGGCGAGGCTCCAGTCCCCCTCTTGGAAGCCCTCAGTGCTGCCCATGCACCTCGCCTTGCGCTCCACCGGCTGCGCTCACCAGTGTCCGTTCCCTGCGGGCAGGCATGGCTGCTCCTCCCACGCCCTGGTCTCTCTGCTGAGCTGAGCGCAGGGTCTGGTGTGCAGTAGGTGCTCAGCGAGGGGCCCGTGGGATGAAGGCCCACCCATCTCAATCTTGGCCTGTGACAGGCGCTGTTCTAAGCAGGTTTCATGGGCCAGCAGCGTGGTGGGGTTAGACTCGGGGAGCTGAGGCAGGAGGACGGCCACAGTGCCAGGCCAGTGTGGGCCATGCAGCAAATTCCTACCCTGGCTGAAGAACACAGCAAAATCCTGTCTCAACAAACCCCCTCAAACCGGAACTAAAGAAAGCAGGGGTGTTGTTGGTGCTCCCTCACTTCAGTGAGTGCTGTCGCCATCATCTGCACTTCACCAACGAGGCAGCAGCGGGCTGAAGCCAGGCAGGGGGAGCAGGAGCTGCTGCCATGTGGCCATGCTGTGGCTTGGAGGCCCTGGGCTGCGGCACAGCTGGGCTCACCCCCTGGGGAGCACACCCCCAAGGAGAGCATGTCCCTGGGCCACCAAGCCCACTGCACCCTGCTGAGCTGGGGAGGTCGCTGCCTGGTCCCCCCGCCCCCCACAGTTCCCCCTGTGGCACCTGCATGCTCTGCTGACCTGGCGCTCACCTGGCAGTGAAAGGGCCCGCTAGCTTCTTACAGCTCCTTAATTAGCCTCGGCTGGCACCCAGCCTGGCCCTCCACCAACCCACCCTGGCACGGGCTAGGTGGGCCGGTAGCCAAAGCCAGCCTCAGTTTCCCTTTACCCACCCACCAACTCCTGTCATAAGCAAGGCTTGAGGGACTGGGGTGTTTCGTGGGGTGGGACAGAGGATGGACAGTGTTGCTGGCTGGATACCTCTAGGTTGTGACATTAGCTTTGAGATCCCCAAGTTAGGCAAATGGGGTCCTGACTGATTGGCATGTGGCTTCGCAGCCACTCCCATGACTCCAGGTGCCAGGGATGGTTAAGGATGTGGAGGGGACAGTAGGGTGGGGCTATGAGTGGTCAGACTTGGGTTGAATGACGCTTGTCTCCCCTTTCTCCTCCCCGTGGCTCCACTGTGTTTCCCTTCCCCTTCCTGATTTGCCGTTGTCCTGCTTTTCTCCCTTGTCCCTGTCCTCCAGCGGTGCAGCGTGGCCGCATCCCGCACGCGCTGCCCGGCACCGCGCCGCCCCCTGCCGGCAGCCCCCCTGGCTCGGCGCTGGCGGCGGGCGGGGATGCCTTCCCGGGGCCGCCGGTGTCCGAACTGATCGCGCAGCTGCTGCGCGCTGAGCCCTACCCTGCGGCGGCCGGGCGCTTCGGCGGCGGCGCAGTGCTGGGCATCGATAATGTGTGCGAGCTGGCGGCACGCCTGCTCTTCAGCACCGTGGAGTGGGCGCGCCACGCGCCCTTCTTCCCCGAGCTACCGGTGGCCGACCAGGTGGCGCTGCTGCGCCTCAGCTGGAGTGAGCTTTTCGTACTCAACGCCGCACAGGCCGCGCTGCCGCTGCACACCGCGCCGCTGCTGGCCGCCGCTGGGCTGCACGCCGCGCCTATGGCCGCCGAGCGCGCTGTGGCCTTCATGGACCAGGTGCGCGCCTTCCAGGAGCAGGTGGACAAGCTGGGCCGCCTGCAGGTGGACTCGGCCGAGTACGGCTGCCTCAAGGCCATCGCGCTCTTCACGCCGGGTGAGCCTGCGGCCCCGGGTGGGGATGCCGGGGGCGGAATCGCCCACGGGTGAATCCCGCCCCGACAGGCTCCTCCCAGGCATCTGATAACTTGTCCCGGGGCCTAGGCCTGGATTCTGCTGCCCGGGGCTCTTACTTGACAACCTTGAGGGCTGCTGGGGCGCTGCACCTCCCTCCCTCCACCTAAGTCCTGCAACCCCTGAGAGCCAGGTTCCACACTCAGGGCACAACTGCTCCCTGAGCACTAATCCCATGGGATCAGCGGAGGCCCTGCCTGGCCTGTGGTTCCAGGCCCTTTAGGGCCTCTTCACCTCTGCCTGACCACCAGAACCCAGCCCTGCCGTTTTCCTGGAGGGGCTGCACAGGTGGTTCTTAACTTGTCCCCCGAAGGACGCATTTGCTGGGAGGCACCTGTAATGCCAGTACTCAGGAAGCTGAGCCAGGAGGGTCTCAAGCTTGTTTGTAGCCTAGGCACCTTAGGCTTGTCTGGCTGGTTGAGGCCCCACTCCACTTGCACCCAAGAGCCTGTCCTGTCGATCCTGCTGAGACCCGTCTCTGACGCAGCCCTGTCCACAGATGCCTGTGGCCTGTCCGACCCAGCGCACGTGGAGAGCCTGCAGGAGAAGGCACAGGTGGCGCTCACCGAGTACGTGCGCACCCAGTACCCGACACAGCCCCAGCGCTTTGGCCGCCTGCTGCTGCGCCTGCCCGCGCTGCGTGCCGTGCCCGCCTCGCTCATTTCGCAGCTCTTCTTCATGCGCCTGGTGGGCAAGACGCCCATTGAGACACTCATTCGAGACATGCTGCTATCGGGCAGCACCTTCAGCTGGCCCTACGGCACCGGCCAGTGAGGCTGCGCCCACTGTTTTTAAAAACTGAGACGTTTGTGCTGTTTTTTAAATGATCAAAAACCAAAAAGAGATGGATCTTCCGGGCTGGCTTGTGCTCGCAGCACCCCACTGGGGTGGGGTGATGGCCTTGTCCCCCAAGCATGAACTCTGTTGGCAGGCGGATGTCCCTGGGGTCACAGCCCAGGGCCTGAGCCTGAAATGTGCGTGGGACACTGAGGTGAAGTCAGGCTGGTAATAAAGATGATTTGTACTGCATGGCCGCTTGCCACAGCTTTATTTCGGTCGGGGCCCTGAGCTCCAGCCAGCTCTTTTATTGTGTGCCTGTGTTGTGAGGCTGGGCTTGCACTTGGGATCTTCTGGCCTCAGAACTTGGCTCTGGTCTGTGGGGGAGGCTGGGCCCACCCACTAGTTTCTTATCAGCTCCCATGCCTGTTGGGGTTCCTGAGGCCACAGCTGGAGCCATCCCGTTGAACCTCAGCCCAGCCAACTGGAGCCCTCTGTCTCACAGTGGTGCGTGATGCAGTCCACTTGATCAGAGCTGGTCCAGGCCCAGGAACTGGACACCAGCATCCAGAACTAGGAGGATCCCACTAGAGGAAAGGTGTGGCAAGACCACCTTTCCTAGATGCCATGGGCGCCTGGCACCGAGCCACACCTGAGATCTCGGGTGTCTTAAATTCCACAAATCCATTTTCCTCTTTCATGCCAAAAGCATCGAACTTATTCCTATAAGCAACTAAAACTTGTCTTCTTTCTGATTGCCATCAGAAAGCAGGAATGTGAAGGTGGAAGAGCTGGGTTGGTGTGGGGCACTAGGGACCCTTTCTTTCGGCTGTGAGTGTAGGGGCGCCCTGGGGCCAAGTGACAGCTTTTCCCTATTTGTGAATGAGGCACAGCCCCAGAACCTCTGCAGCCTTGCCACTCCCTGCCAGGCAGCTTGGGAGGGTTGGGTCTGCTTCATGCTGTGGAGTAAATGGGGCCTCAAAGGTTACCCTGTGCCCCATGGCCAGAGGTGCAGGTGAGACTTCTAGCAGAGTGGAGTCCCATTTTGCAGCTTTGCCATGGTGCATGTCCTGTTTGGTCCCCACAGATGGTCAGCTCCTACTTTCCTGACACAGCCCTACCCATACAGCCCCCTCCTGCAGAAAGACATTCTGAGCCTCCCTGGTTCAGACTCCTGGCCAGCTTTCTGCCACTGGTCTGGCCAGGAGATAGCCAGAGTCACAATCACCTGGACACTCGTGGGAAGAGGGCAGTGCAGGGTCAGATGGAGACTGAAACCTTCCCAGAGGGTCTCAGGTGGAGCCTGATCCAGGAATTCTGAGCACAGGGAAGCTGCCCTAATCAGCCTCCCAGGCTCAGGGTCCTGGGCAAGGCCCTTTCTGGGGACCTCACTTTCCCACTACTTCCCCTGGAAAATGGAAGAACAGACTTCTGCTGACACCTGGGTGAAGTTAGGAGTGTTACGCAGCCTCACACTGCAGGCATTTACTGTATGTTCATTCCTTGGGGCTGAGACCCAGTGTCCCGCGGGATTACCTGGCCAACTTGGCCAGGCAGTGCCAGTTTGTGGGTCACACCCTCCTGTGTCTGCATCCGGGTCTCTCAGAAGTACACCGAGCCCTCGCTGTCTGCTTGATCATCGAACTTCTGGATCTGAGTCTTGAGGTGCCTCAGTTTACCCTTTAGGTAGAGACAGCGTGCCTGCCTATGCAGAAAGCGAGGATCCTGGGAGGGCGAGAACCATGGCTGTACCTCAGTCTCCCCTCTCTGAACTCTGCACAAGGGTTCATGGCAGCGCCAGGCCGCAGACCCTGCCTCACCTTGTGCTTCTTCTCCAGCTCCTGCCAGACGTGCGCAACAGCCTGGGCCTCCTCCTGAAGGATAGGGGGACACGGAAACTCGGAATCTGAGGACCGGGGTAGCAGCTTTCCTAGCTGCCCGCCGCGGCACCCATGCGCACCTGGCCTCGAGGTGGAGGCAGCAAGCGCAGCTGCGCCTCCAGCTGCTGTAGCTTGGCGCGGGCGGCGCCCACCTCGCGCTGGAGCTTCTGCAGCTCCTCATACTGGTCTTGGAACACAGCGACATAGCGGCTCCGGGCCCTCTCGCTCCTCAGCGGCGGGTACTTACTAGGAGTCCGAGGGGGGACGGAGTGTGAGTGGAAGGAATCTCACCCTTCTTAATCTGTCTGATTTGTTTTAGACTCAAATTCCCCTTTCCTTAGTTAATAAACTCGTATCCATCAGACAAAGCCCCAGCTTCAATGCCCCTTGCCTATTCCGAGGCATGCAGAACCACTCTGGGGCACTCACAGCTCATAGTCCGGCACTGAGTGCGGCCTGGGAGTCCGCCTCCCCGGCCCAGCTGCGGCAGGTTTCGAGGTATCCCGGAGGGATCGGGAGGGCAGCTCATCCTCAAATACGATCTTCCTGCGTCGAGCCTGGTAGGGTGCGGGCGGGGGCTGGCACGGAGGGCGGCGGGCAGCCTCTCTGTGGCTTGGTGACATCAATGTCTGCAGACGCTGCAGGAACCATGGGATGGGGTTACAGGCTGTTCGGAAGTGGAGTCCCCAGCCTGGTGGAGCTGAATGCTGGGCTTCGGGGCGCACTCACCGGGGGTCCGGGGCCCGGCGGGTTCCCCTGGGTGCCACGGGCCTGAGGGTGCACGAGGGTGGGCATCGGCCTCGGTGAGGGGCCGCTCGCTGGTTCCCGGGCGCGCTGGTGGGTCTTGCGGGGAACGTCGCGGCCAGCGCGCCGCAGGCGTGGCCTGAGGGCAGCCTGCGGACAACACGGGGGAGGGCGCGCCTAGAGGTTGCGCGGCGGGAGCGTGCGCGCAGGCGGGCGCGCGCCGAGGCCCCACGCTATTTGCATGCGCGCTCGGAGCTGACGCCCTGCAAGCCCAGACTCCGCCCCATCCTAGAACCCGGAAACGCACTATGCAAATGAGCCACACGAACGGCGCAGCCCCCGGCGGTGGACTCAGTTACGAGCACCCGCGGCGTACTAGTCTAGGCCACTACCCCCGAAGTGCCCCAGGACCTCCGCCCACGTGCCGCTCGCACGCATTGCTCCTCCAGGTTCACCTGTCCCAGCGTCCGGGGATCCAAGCCTGGGCTCCTGGCCGGCCTGGGCTCCTGGCCGGAAAGGCACCCGAGTCCGGGCTGTGTATTAGCGCTCGGTCCCTGACTGCCAGAGTCTCGCGCGGGCTGGGGGCGGGGCCCGGGAAGAGGCGGGGCCTAGAGGGGCGGGGCGGGGCTTAGCCGCCCGGCGCGGGACCAGGGATCTGGATTTACCCCCGCTGGTGTTTTGAGACTCAATGTTTCCTTTTTTTTTTTTTTTTTCCCCCGGAACCGGGAATTGAACTCAGGCCTTTGCGCTTGTCCGGGAAGTGCTTATTCCATTGAGCCATCTCCCTGGCTCTCTTTATGTTTTAAACAATTGTATTTTTAAATGTTTTCTTAAAGCTTGCTTAGTGGTGCACACCTGTAATCCCATCACTCTGGGAGGCGGAGGCAGAAGGCTCAAAACTTATCCCATCCCCGCAATATTTTTAAAAAGCATTTAAAAAAAAATCTTCCTATTGGGGCTGGTGAGATGGCTCAGTGGTCTAAAGCACCTACTTGGAACAAGCTTAGCAAAGCACAGGGACCGTGGTTCAATCCCCCAGCACCACATGCCAGCCAGCCCCGCCCCCTGGTGGGCTGAGCTGGCCCCACACACACACACACACACACACACACACACACACAAAATTTAAAAAATGTTCCTGTTTTCTCCAGTACTGGGCATAGAGCCCAGGGCTTGTCTGAGACAGGGGCTCCCTAAGTTCTGCAGCCTGGGCTGCGACATGTGACCCTCCTACCTCAGCTCCCAGTCTGGGGTGACAGCACCTTGCTGTGAATGAGTGGCGTTCAGAAGCCATGTACACCCTTTTCCTGTAACATAGCCTGCAGGCCTTTCATTTTTCCTGTTGCGCTGCAGGGGTTCTGCATATCGATGGAATTAGCCTTTTTGGGGCCAGGGCCATAGCTCAAAATAAGAACTTGCCTGGCAAGCTCAAGGTCCCGAGCTCAATCCCTAGTACCTCAAGAAATTAGCCTTTTTGTTACCATTATATATGGAGTACTCTGATATATTTAATAGCCAAAATACAACTTTTATTTTGCTTTCATGCTTCCCAACTGGGGCCTCATGTGTTGCCCAGGGTGGCCTGGTCCCAAGGGATCCTCCTGACTCAGCCTCCCAGTAGGGGCCACAGGCGTGCACGGCGAGTCTGGCTTCTTCAGGTGCCCAGCAGGCCTGTGTGCAGCCTGGCGTCATGGCCAGAGCGGGCCTGCTGCCCACACCCGCACTCCCGATGGCCCGGGTCTCGCAGTGCTACTTGAGCTTGGGCACAATGCGGATGAAGAGGATCATGCTAATGAAGATGAAGCAGACCACGATGAGCATCGCCCACAGCAGCCAGTTGACTGACTTCTGTGCGTGCTGCTCCAGCCGCTCCGACTCTGTCTTCAGCTTCTCCAGGTTCTGGTCAGCCATCTTAAGTGAGTGCGACAGGGTCTGCAGGCAGGGTGAGCAGAGTCGGTGGGGCTGGAGGGAGAGCGGTCTCTTGCTACTGCTTGGGAGAAGCCCTAGGCCTCTCCTCCTTTGCCAGTGCTGTATCCTCTGGTGGGAATGTCATGTTTTGGGGCTTCTACCAAACTCCTATTCATCCAGGAAAACCCCAGGCACAATGCCCTCTTCCCAAAACAGTTCCCACAGCCCCGAACCTGGTTGTCCTTCTTGATGACACTCTGGGCGGCCAGCGTGTTGGTCTTCAGGCTCCGGGCCAGGCCCAGCATCTCCTCGGCCAGCTTCTCCTGCAGCTGCTGCTGGCGCTGCAGCGCGAGGTCCAGCTCGGCTGCTGAATGCTTCTCAGCTGCGGGCCTGGGTCCAGCCACCCCACTGAGCCCACAAGACAGCTGAGCAGGTGCGGGGGGGGGGGGGCGGCGCGAACATGTCCCCAACGGTGCCCTGTTTGGGACTCAGTCTCCCTGTCCCCAAATGGCTTCTGGTCCTCCGGCTCCCTCCCTCCCCATGGCAGCAAGGTGGAGACACTCACCTTCGCTTCCTCACCTCCAGCTCCCGCTCTGGAAACAAACATAGGCCGAGGGGGGAGAGGACTTGGTGTCCTGCTGCCAGCTTCTGGGCCTTTGTGCCATCCCTGCCGCCCATGTCAGTTCCCCTTCTCGGTGGCTGCCTGGTGGGCTCCTACTGTTGCTTCAAAGTCCCAACTAGAATGCCCCTTCCTGGAGGAGTGCTTCCTACCCTGCCTGCGCTCCCCAAGACCCAGGTCTCGCCTTCCACCTCGAGTTGGCCCCATGTGCTAGGAATGCGCGGCCCGGGACTGCCGGCCCAGGCTGGGTGTGAGTCCTCGTCTGCTCAGCAGCTCACCTCCGGCAGAGTCCTGCGGAAGAAATGACGGGGGTACGTCACTGGAGGGAAATCCCAGAGGTTTGCATGGATGGCCCGGACCTGCTGTCAGCACGGCCAGGCCCAGCTTTCAGGACTGCACCCAGTACTGCATGGAGGCACAGCCCTTGGCTTTCTCTTTTTTACTTTGAGGGGGGATCTAGCCAGGTCGCCAGTTGGCAGGCTAGTTGGGCTTAAACTTTGGCTCCTGCCTCAGCCTCCCAGAGTGCGGGCTTCCGGGGCAAGTGAGCCGATGCCCTTGGTCCGGGCAGCCCTACCGTGCCCAGCAGCTCCTGCCGCATCTCGCCGGCATAGCGTGCGCGCGTCTGTAGGTGCACAGTCCTGGTGGCGGGCACGCGCTCACGGGCCGTGGTGGGCACGCGGCCGGGCGCCAGGAACTGGTTGGCCAGCGCCTTCTCGGAGGAGGAGGCCTGCAGATGGGGATGTGGTGTGGTCATGGGTGGCATCGCAGGGCGGGGCGGGGCGTCAGGGCCACCGGGGGCTCACCAGCTTCTCGGCCTGCAGCAGTCCCCTCAGGAAGTCCACCTTGCGCGCGTACTCCTGCAGCACCTCCGCGGCGGGCCGGCTGCGGAAGGAGACAGAGGCCAGGGCGGGGCTGCACTGCACCACTGGCACCTCGGGGCCCTGCCCCCGCACTCACCTGGCCTGTGTCCTGAGCGCCTGCAGCATGTCCTCCAGGGCCCCCACATACTGCGGGGAGAAGGGGGCGGTCAGCGAGGCCATGGCGCCCGTTACCTAGTTAGAACCAGGGACAATGTGTCCAGTTCTTGCTCTGTGTTCTGCGCCAGTGCGGTGGGACTGAGCACTGTGGGCAAGTGGGCTAGCCTATCCCGAGCAGGACCACGAGCCCTGGGCTGCTCCGGCAGCATGTTGCTAGTGATCACTGCGGGCGACTTTCTCTTTCCGGTGGCCTTCCTAGGCGGCTGTAGGCCCTGCAAGAGCTACCGCCTCATGATCACCTTTGCCATTTTCCTGTCTCTTATCATTCCTAGTGGACGTGCCCACAGCCATCACTGGCTGCCTTGCTAGAGACAAGCAGAGTTTAATAAGGACTTCTCACTGATGAAGAAATTCCCCCTAAACAGTCGTACAGCTGCATTCCTGGACAGGCTGCAGACACAATTTGCGTGCTAGGGGCTTCTGACTACTCGAATTGGAGGACCATCCCTAGCATGGGCAAGGACCAGTTTGTTGATTCTGCTATAGCAACATCACCATGGGCTGTGGCACTGACTTGAAGCACAATTCCACCCAGAAGATGGGAACTGGCTGCGGAAAAAATGCGCTGGTGGTGGCTGTAGCAGCCCTGGGCGTTGCTTTTGCGGAGGTCCTGGGAATCAGGTTTGCCTGCTGTCTTGTGAAGAGTACCGAAGTGGCTGCAAAGTGATGTAGGGAGTCCAGCCTCATTAGCCCCTTCATCTAGGGGGTTCAGTAGTACCCCTGGGGTTTTTCAATTAAATGGATTCTGTTTTCAGGCCAAAAAAAAAAAACTGGGGGAGGGGCGGGGCCAGGTGGGGCCGGGGTCTATGGGGAGGAGCCAGGTGCCAGGTGCCGCACCTAATGGGGGCGGATGCCGCAGGGCGAGGCGGAAAGGGAAGGGGCCAGGTGCCAGCGAGGCGGGCGGGGAGGGAGAGAGAAGGGTACAGTGCCCGAAGGAAGGGCCCAGGCGGCCAGGCGGGGTTCCGGGGAGAGCGCGGCAACCCCGGGGCCCGGCCAAGCGCCAAGGCGGGGCGGCGGCGAAGGGCGGAGCCCAGGTTCCACCAGCGCGGCGGGGACGTGGCACGGCGGGGCGGGCTGGG